CGTGTGGGTGGGTGGGGTTCACGATGGCCGTGTGGGTGGGTGGGGTTCACGGTGACCGTGTGGGTGGGTGGGGTTCACGGTGGCCGTGTGGGTGGGTGGGGTTCACGGTGACCGTGTGGGTGGGTGGGGTTCACGGTGGCCGTGTGGGTGGGTGGGGTTCACGGTGACCGTGTGGCTGTGTGGGTGGGGTTCACGGTGGCCGTGTGGGTGGGTGGGGTTCACGGTGGCCGTGTGGGTGGGTGGGGTTCACGGTGGCCGTGTGGGTGGGTGGGGTTCACGGTGACCGTGTGGCTGTGTGGGTGGGTGGGGTTCACGGTGACCGTGTGGCTGTGTGGGTGGGGTTCATGGTGGCTGTGTGGGTGGGTGGGGTTCACGGTGGCCGTGTGGGTGGGTGGGGTTCACGGTGGCCGTGTGGGTGGGTGGGGTTCACGGTGGCCGTGTGGGTGGGTGGGGTTCACGGTGACCGTGTGGCTGTGTGGGTGGGGTTCACGATGTCCGTGTGGGTGGGTGTGGTTCACGGTGGCCGTGTGGGTGGGTGGGGTTCACGGTGTCCGTGTGGGTGGGTGTGGTTCACGGTGGCCGTGTGGGTGGGTGGGGTTCACGATGACCGTGTGGGTGGGTGGGTGGGGTTCACGGTGGCCGTGTGGGTGGGTGGGGTTCACGGTGGCCGTGTGGGTGGGTGGGTGGGGTTCACGATGACCGTGTGGGTGGGTGGGGTTCACGGTGACCGTGTGGGTGAGTGAGTGGGGTCCACGGTGGCCGTGTGGGTGAGTGAGTGGGGTTCACGGTGGCCGTGTGGGTGGGTGGGGTTCACGGTGGCCGTGTGGGTGGGTGGGGTTCACGGTGTCTGTGTGGGTGGGTGGGGTTCACGGTGACCGTGTGGCTGTGTGGGTGGGTGGGGTTCACGGTGGCCGTGTGGGTGGGTGGGGTTCACGGTGACCGTGTGGGTGGGTGGGGTTCACGATGGCCGTGTGGGTGGGTGGGGTTCACGGTGACCGTGTGGGTGGGTGGGGTTCACGGTGGCCGTGTGGGTGGGTGGGGTTCACGGTGACCGTGTGGCTGTGTGGGTGGGGTTCATGGTGGCTGTGTGGGTGGGTGGGGTTCACGGTGGCCGTGTGGGTGGGTGGGGTTCACGGTGGCCGTGTGGGTGGGTGGGGTTCACGGTGGCCGTGTGGGTGGGTGGGGTTCACGGTGACCGTGTGGCTGTGTGGGTGGGTGGGGTTCACGGTGACCGTGTGGCTGTGTGGGTGGGGTTCACGGTGGCCGTGTGGGTGGGTGGGGTTCACGGTGGCCGTGTGGGTGGGTGGGGTTCACGGTGACCGTGTGGGTGGGTGGGGTTCACGGTGACCGTGTGGCTGTGTGGGTGGGTGCGGTTCACGGTGGCCGTGTGGGGACCTTTTTTACGGCCAGCATCAAAAATCTGAAAAAAAATCGTGTGCGCGTGGATGATTGCGTGTGGATGTTGTTGTTGTTGATGTCGTTGTTGTCGTTGTTGTTGTTGTCGTTGTTGTCGTTGTTGATGTCGTTGTTGTTGTTGTCGTTGTTGTCGTTGTTGTTGTTGTTGATGTCGTTGTTGTTGTTGTTGATGTCGTTGTTGTCGTTGTTGATGTCGTTGTTGTTGTTGTCGTTGTTGATGTCGTTGTTGTTGTTGTCGTTGTTGTTGTTGTCGTTGTTGATGTCGTTGTTGTTGTCGTTGTTGATGTCGTTGTTGTTGTTGATGTTGTTGATGTCGTTGTTGATGTCGTTGATGTCGTTGTTGATGTCGTTGTTGATGTCGTTATTGTTGTTGTCGTCGTCGCAAGGTGTACCTGGCATGCGAGCGGAGCGGCCGTCCCGACGGAGTGGAGTTGGCTCGCCCGCTGTGGGAGTTGTCACGGCTGTCATTCACTCGTGGGGACTCGGTGACGGGCCTCGCCGTCTCAGCACAGGTGGGGTGGTGGTGGTGGTGGTGGCGGTGACGGTGGTGGTGGTGATGGTGGTGGTGGTGATGGTGGTGGTGATGGTGGTGGTGGCGGCGGTGGTGGTGGTGGTGGTGATGGTGGTGGTGGTGGTGGTGATGGTGGTGGTGATGGTGGTGATGGTGATGGTGGTGATGGTGATGGTGGTGACGGTGATGGTGGCGGTGGTGATGGCGGTGGTGATGGTGGTGGTGATGGTGGTGATGGTGGTGGTGTTGGTGGTGATGGTGTTGGTGGTGGCGGTGATGATGGTGGTGGCGGTGGTGATGATGGTGGTGGTGGTGGTGATGGTGGTGGTGGTGGTGGTGATGGTGGTGGTGATGGTGGTGATGGTGATGGTGGTGATGGTGATGGTGGTGACGGTGATGGTGGCGGTGGTGATGGCGGTGGTGATGGTGGTGGTGATGGTGGTGATGGTGGTGGTGTTGGTGGTGATGGTGTTGGTGGTGGCGGTGATGATGGTGGTGGCGGTGGTGATGATGGTGGTGGTGGTGGTGATGGTGGCGGTGATGGTGGTGATGGTGGTGGTGATGGTGGTGGTGGCGGTGATGATGGTGGTGACGATGGTGGTGGTGGTGGTGGTGGCGGCGATGGTGGTGGCGGTGATGGTGGTGGTGATGGTGATGGTGGTGGTGACGGTGGTGGTGATGATGGCGGTGGTGACGGTGGTGGTGATGATGGCGGTGGTGACGGTGGTGGTGATGATGGCGGTGTTGGTGATGATGGCGGTGTTGGTGGTGGTGATGATGGTGGTGAAGGCGGTGGTGATGATGGCGGTGATGGTGGTGGTGATGATGGCGGTGATGGTGGTGGTGATGGTGGTGGCGGTGGTGGTGATGATGGTGGTGTTGGCGATGATAGTGGTGAAGGCGGTGGTGGTGGTGACGGTGATGATGGTGGTGGTGATGGTGGTGGTGATGGCGATGATGGCGGTGATGGCGGTGGTGACAGTGATGATGATGGTGATGATGGTGGTGGTGGCGGTGATGGTGGTGGTGATGATGACGGTGACGGTGGTGATGGCGGTGATGGCGGTGGGTGCTGCCCCCCAGGTGGTTCGGATTCTCCACAGCCACCTCTGTGAGCTGACACGACGCCACGCACAGAGGAGGGCACCTACGGCACAGGTGCATGCTGGGAGATATCCCAGCATGCCTCGGGAGGCAGACGACGCGGAGGCCGAGCTTGATGGTACGCGGTCGTGACGATGGCGGCGGTGGCGATGATGTTGGAGGTGGCGATGATGTTGGAGGTGGTGATGATGTTGATGGTGGCGATGATGTGGAGGTGGCGATGATGTTGATGGTGGCGATGATGTGGAGGTGGCGATGATGTTGGAGGTGGTGATGATGTTGATGGTGGTGATGATGTGGAAGTGGCGATGATGTTGGTAGCGATGATGTGGATGGTGGCGATGATGTTGACGGTGGCGATGTTGTTGATGGTGGAGATGATGTTGATGGTGACGATGATGTTGGTGGTGGCGATGATGTTGATGGTGGCGATGATGTTGGAGGTGGCGATGATGTTGATGGTGGCGATGATGTTGATGGTGGCGATGATGTTGGAGGTGGCGATGATGTTGATGGTGACGATGATGTTGATGGTGACGATGATGTTGATGGTGGCGATGATGTTGATGGTGGCGATGATGTTGGTGGTGGCGATGATGTTGGAGGTGGCGATGACGTTGATGGTGGCGATGATGTTGGAGGTGGAGATGATGTTGGAGGTGGCGATGATGTTGGAGGTGGCGATGATGTTGGTGGTAGCGATGATGTTGGAGGTGGCGATGATGTTGGAGGTGGTGATGATGTTGGTGGTGGAGATGATGTTGGTGGTGGAGATGATGTTGGTGGTGGAGATGATGTTGATGGTGGCGATGATGTTGGTGGTGGCGATGATGTTGATGGTGGTGATGATGTTGGTGGTGGTGATGATGTTGGTGGTGGAGATGATGTTGATGGTGGCGATGATGTTGCTGGTGGCGATGATGTTGATGGTGGCGATGATGTGGAGGTGGCGATGATGTTGATGGTGGCGATGATGTTGATGGTGGCGATGATGTTGATGGTGGCGATGATGTTGATGGTGGCGATGATGTTGATGGTGGCGATGATGTTGGAGGTGGCGATGATGTTGATGGTGGCGATGATGTTGATGGTGGCGATGATGTTGATGGTGGCGATGATGTTGATGGTGGCGATGATGTTGATGGTGGCGATGATGTTGATGGTGGCGATGATGTTGATGGTGGCGATGATGTTGATGGTGGCGATGATGTTGATGGTGGCGATGATGTTGATGGTGGCGATGATGTTGGAGGTGGTGATGATGTTGATGGTGGCGATGATGTTGATGGTGGCGATGATGTTGATGGTGGCGATGATGTTGACGATGATGTTGGAGGTGGCGATGATGTTGGAGGTGGCGATGATGTGGAGGTGGCGATGATGTTGATGGTAGCGATGATGTTGATGGTGGCGATGATGTGGAGGTGGCGATGATGTTGATGGTAGCGATGATGTTGATGGTAGCGATGATGTGGAGGTGGCGATGATGTTGATGGTGGCGATGATGTTGACGGTGGCGATGATGTTGATGGTGACGATGATGTGGAAGTGGCGATGATGTTGATGGTGGCGATGATGTTGATGGTGGCGATGATGTTGATGGTGGCGATGATGTTGGTGGTGGCGATGATGTTGATGGTGGCGATGAGGTTGATGGTGGCGATGATGTTGGAGGTGGCGATGATGTTGGAGGTGGCGATGATGTTGATGGTGGTGATGATGTTGATGGTGGCGATGTGGAGGTGGCGATGATGTTGATGGTAGCGATGATGTTGGAGGTGGCGATGATGTTGGTGGTAGCGATGATGTTGGAGGTGGCGATGATGTTGATGGTGGCGATGATGTTGGAGGTGGCGATGATGTTGATGGTGGCGATGATGTTGATGGTAGCGATGATGTTGGAGGTGGCGATGATGTTGGAGGTGGCGATGATGTTGATGGTAGCGATGATGTTGGAGGTGGCGATGATGTTGATGGTGGCGATGATGTTGGAGGTGACGATGATGTTGATGGTGGTGATGATGTGGAAGTGGCGATGATGTTGGTAGCGATGATGTTTACGGTAGCGATGATGTTGATGGTGGCGATGATGTTGGAGGTGACGATGATGTGGAGGTGGCGATGATGTTGATGGTGGTGGCGATGATGTTGATGGTGGTGGCGATGATGTTGATGGTGGTGATGATGGCGATGATGTTGGAGGTGTCGATGATGTTGATGGTGGCGATGATGTTGATGGTGGCGATGATGTTGGAGGTGGCGATGATGTTGGTGGTGGCGATGATGTTGACGGTGGCGATGATGTTGACGGTGGCGATGATGTTGACGGTGGCGATGATGTTGACGGTGGCGATGATGTTGATGGTGACGATGATGTTGATGGTGGAGATGATGTTGATGGTGGAGATGATGTTGATGGTGGCGATGATGTTGGAGGTGGCGATGCTGTGGAGGTGGCGATGATGTTGATGGCGATGATGTTGATGGTGGCGATGATGTTGATGGTGGCGATGATGTTGATGGTGGCGATGATGTTGATGGTGGCGATGATGTTGACGGTGGCGATGATGTTGACGGTGGCGATGATGTTGACGGTGGCGATGATGTTGGAGGTGGCGATGATGTTGGAGGTGGCGATGATGTTGGAGGTGGCGATGATGTTGGAGGTGGCGATGATGTTGGAGGTGGCGATGATGTTGGAGGTGGCGATGATGTTGGAGGTGGCGATGATGTTGGAGGTGGCGATGATGTTGGAGGTGGCGATGATGTTGGAGGTGGCGATGATGTTGGAGGTGGCGATGATGTTGGAGGTGGCGATGATGTTGGAGGTGGCGATGATGTTGGAGGTGGCGATGATGTTGGAGGTGGCGATGATGTTGGAGGTGGCGATGATGTTGGAGGTGGCGATGATGTTGGAGGTGGTGATGATGTTGATGGTGGTGATGATGTTGGAGGTGGTGATGATGTTGATGGTGGCGATGATGTTGATGGTGGCGATGATGTTGGAGGTGGCGATGATGTTGGAGGTGGCGATGATGTTGATGGTGGTGATGATGTTGGAGGTGGCGATGATGTTGGAGGTGGCGATGATGTTGGAGGTGGCGATGATGTTGGAGGTGGCGATGATGTTGGAGGTGGCGATGATGTTGGAGGTGGCGATGATGTTGGAGGTGGCGATGATGTTGGAGGTGGCGATGATGTTGGAGGTGGCGATGATGTTGATGGTGGCGATGATGTTGATGGTGGCGATGATGTTGATGGTGGCGATGATGTTGGAGGTGGCGATGATGTTGGAGGTGGCGATGATGTTGGTGGTGGCGATGATGTTGATGGTGGCGATGATGTTGGTGGTGACGATGATGTTGATGGTGGCGATGATGTTGCTGGTGGCGATGATGTTGATGGTGGCGATGATGTTGGAGGTGGCGATGATGTTGATGGTGGCGATGATGTTGGAGGTGGCGATGATGTTGATGGTGGCGATGATGTTGGAGGTGGCGATGATGTTGACGGTGGCGATGATGTTGACGGTGGCGATGATGTTGCTGGTGGAGATGATGTTGCTGGTGGAGATGATGTTGATGGTGGCGATGATGTTGATGGTGGCGATGATGTGGAGGTGGCGATGATGTTGATGGTGGCGATGATGTTGATGGTGGCGATGATGTGGAGGTGGCGATGACGTTGATGGTGGCGATGATGTTGATGGTGGCGATGATGTTGATGGTGGCGATGATGTTGGAGGTGGCGATGATGTGGAGGTGGCGATGATGTTGATGGTGGCGATGATGTTGACGGTGGCGATGATGTTGATGGTGGCGATGATGTGGAGGTGGCGATGATGTTGATGGTGGCGATGATGTTGATGGTGGCGATGATGTTGATGGTGACGATGATGTTGACGGTGACGATGATGTGGAGGTGGCGATGATGTTGATGGTGGCGATGATGTTGGAGGTGGCGATGATGTTGATGGTGGCGATGATGTTGGAGGTGGCGATGATGTTGCTGGTGGCGATGATGTTGATGGTGGCGATGATGTTGATGGTGGCGATGATGTTGGAGGTGGCGATGATGTTGATGGTGGCGATGATGTTGATGGTGGTGATGATGTTGGAGGTGGCGATGATGTTGCTGGTGGCGATGATGTTGATGGTGGCGATGATGTTGGTGGTGACGATGATGTTGATGGTGGCGATGATGTTGCTGGTGGCGATGATGTTGATGGTGGCGATGATGTTGGAGGTGGCGATGATGTTGATGGTGGCGATGATGTTGGAGGTGGCGATGATGTTGATGGTGGCGATGATGTTGGAGGTGGCGATGATGTTGACGGTGGCGATGATGTTGACGGTGGCGATGATGTTGCTGGTGGAGATGATGTTGCTGGTGGCGATGATGTTGATGGTGGCGATGATGTTGATGGTGGCGATGATGTGGAGGTGGCGATGATGTTGATGGTGGCGATGATGTTGATGGTGGCGATGATGTGGAGGTGGCGATGATGTTGATGGTGGCGATGATGTTGATGGTGGCGATGATGTTGATGGTGGCGATGATGTGGAGGTGGCGATGATGTTGATGGTGGCGATGATGTTGACGGTGGCGATGATGTTGATGGTGGCGATGATGTGGAGGTGGCGATGATGTTGATGGTGGCGATGATGTTGATGGTGGCGATGATGTTGATGGTGACGATGATGTTGACGGTGACGATGATGTGGAGGTGGCGATGATGTTGATGGTGGCGATGATGTTGGAGGTGGCGATGATGTTGATGGTGGCGATGATGTTGGAGGTGGCGATGATGTTGCTGGTGGCGATGATGTTGATGGTGGCGATGATGTTGATGGTGGCGATGATGTTGGAGGTGGCGATGATGTTGATGGTGGCGATGATGTTGATGGTGGTGATGATGTTGGAGGTGGCGATGATGTTGCTGGTGGCGATGATGTTGATGGTGGCGATGATGTTGATGGTGGCGATGATGTTGATGGTGGCGATGATGTTGGAGGTGGCGATGATGTTGATGGTGGCGATGATGTTGGAGGTGGCGATGATGTTGCTGGTGGCGATGATGTTGATGGTGGCGATGATGTTGATGGTGGCGATGATGTT